GTTGATGTTTTTGAAACCTTTACAATCTTATCCGTGGCAGGAAGACTGTGTTGCTTTTCACTGGCTGATTTATATATTTTATCACGTCATTAATGGTTTCTTTTTATGTCAGATATATATGAACTGAATTTTGAGAGGAGCACTTTGTAAAAGTTCAACTTGCCAAACTTCATAAAGCCCATATATCGGCAGAGTGAAGAGAAAACATACAAGGAAAGAATAGTTTCACAAGGAGTAGTGAGAATTTAAGAGATCTGGAGCAAATTCAAGAATTTACACCCTTTTGCGTTGATTCACGGCGTCTCGAGGAAGTCAGATGGCATAAATTGACACTCAAAGACTTTTTAAACTGATGTTAAATGTATGCCAGAAGTTAAGAGTTTGATCACTGGTTGACATAATTTAGAGAATCATTGGAAAACTAGGAAGTACTGAACTGCTGTTTCGTTCTACTTTGGAATCTTTCACAGAATGCACCAACCGGTGTTCAAACCCAGAACCATCTGGTTACAAGGTGAGTGCGTAGATGATTTACCCACTGGCACCCGATGCAATGGTCCAATGAATTCCAACTTCTGTCAATTCCCGACATACAGCACAACCACCAGCCAATGTTATAGGCGAGTAACTGTTCTTTCACCTAATTTGATGAACCTCGTTGGCTTTGCAGGCATTTGATTGGTTGCAGTTTTAATCATGGTGGTTCTATAACTAATGTCAGTTCGTGACCTGTAACCAGTCCAATTTCGGCAAACGAACACTTGAATACACTAAATATGACAAATATTTCCTAGAGATATTTGTTAATATTTCGGGTTTGTCAATAGAATGTTTATTGCAACAAAAAATTGAATTTCCAGTTAGATTTAAAATCATTCTTTTAAAATGTACTATGCAAGATGTTTGGTTTTTCCTGAGGAAGAGGAATTTTTTTTCTATGGAAGTGACTTTCTCCACGAATACTAATCATTATTATTCGAATACCTTCGTTTTCTTTATTCCACTTTCCGAGTAGAACATATGGCCTCAGGTTTGAAGTCTTTAAGTTTCAGTAGCCATGGTGTTGCTTTTACTGAACGCGGTTGTAAGCCTTGCGTCCAGCCTTCCCTCTAATCCAGGTCTACTATCAACTACTAAACTGGGGGAGGTTTAGGGCAAAGTTAAACTTTAAGCACCACTAACTACCAATCAGCAAACGGACTCGAAGGCACCAATCACGTGAAGGAGGCATTTTTGTGTATGGAATACATATATTTATGAAAAAATTGCATAAGGCCTGAAGAAAAGTGTTACAGAAGATAGCTTCCTCTCACATGGGATAAAAATATTTCGCAGTTTTAGGTTGGTGTATCAATAGAATATAATTCCATTGTGGATAAAATTTATTTCGAAACATCATCAGTAAATATTACCACTATATAATTATATAAAACTTTATCAGAATAAATCTTACACCCACAATGGAATTAAGCTATACCACAGTGCACAAGTTCTATTCTTATATCAACCGAGTAATTTAACCACATTCTATGCATGTAAATATTTAGGTCTTCTAACCCTAACAATGACCCTAATCTTTCCTGAACCTAATCCCAACGTGAAAATATCCCTAAACTAACTGCAATCTAACTCGAACCTAACCTACTGTCACCTTTGTTAGATTAACTTAACCTATTTAATAAAATAGTGATTCGATGAGCATATTTTATTGATGATGGCAATGTTATTTACTGGATTCCACTAATTTGTTAAGTGTGCTTTTCAAGGTCACTGGTGCGGTCACACTTCACTGGTAGTTAGTGGTGCCTAAAGTTTAACTTTGGCAGGTTTAGGAATGCGTCGACTGGAAACGGAATCTCGGACCAGTTGTGCAGTTGGGGAATGCAATTTTAAAATTAATCTGAGACCCAAAGCTAGAAGTCAACTTTAGAATAACAAATCAAAAGCTTCTTTTTAAACATATATACCTTTTAATCTATGAAATATCTCGTAACGACTTCCACTTGTGTCCAGAACCAACTACTAACTTAAGTGTTCTAGTTAAAATACATCACTCATTCTTAGGTAATATCAGTCAACCACCAGAGAGTTACATTTTTTCATTTACGATTAAGATGTATATACGAATTTAGAGAAAAGCCTTATCCCCCAGAAGGTCAAAGCATAAAATACCACATCAAGGAGTAAGCGAACCCTCCCATGAAGTTGTTGAAGTCATGACCGACCGTCTATTAAATTCGTTGTCAAAAATACTGTTTTCATCAGATTTCAATAAAACCTTAGGGCCAACCACCTACATCATTCAAACACCAACTCATGTACATCGATATATATATATTCAGAAAGCCCATGTCAGAAGTTACTTTAGTATCAGAACAAAAGAAAAAGATTTGTAGTAGTTCAGATCAAATTCGAAATTTACAAATTAATTGCGGAATTGAAGTTTACAAAGTTCGAGGAGGTGAAATTTCAGCATAGTTCCTTTGAGAAACCCAATGGTTCAGGTAACAGTACATAATCTGTTTAACGCCATAAATGGTAATCAAGAAAGCAAACATAAATGCATACTCTTGTATACTAGTGGTTGATTGGCATGTGCATCGGTGGCACAGTGGTTAAGACTCTAGCCGACCATGCATATGGTCCGGGGTTCGATCCCTTGCTGACGCACACCTGATATCTATGGTCGACCTGTAAAATTTGGGCTACCGACATCACATGCTGAAAATTCCTGTACCGAAAATACGGTGTGGAATCAAGCCGTAATCAAAAATAATAATAATTTGCTTTATTCCAAAACAGTACTTGTGATACAGAATGGAATTGTCAGCATTTCAGTACAGTATTGCAACCAGTTTGTCCATTAACAATAAATAAAATTCTACACAAACTATGGGAAATCTCAGTTAGTTTTGACAAGAACATATTGGCATGTCGGTAGCGAAGCAAAAATTTAACAGAATGCTTGAAGGTGTTAGAAAGGTAGATACTAGCATTTTTACTGATGCAAGCTGTAAGAAAAGGTCAAGATATACAGAGTGTGAAAGAACGAAGAAGAATGTTTTGAGTAGAGTTTGTAAGGAAGGGAGAAACGAAACAGCACATAAAAAAATAAAAACAAAAATAAAAAGAGAGAGGGAGAAAAGGAAAAGAAAGAAAGAAACGTTGTACCTATAAATGATATGAGTTGGAAAGACGAGATCCAATTGTTCTACTGACTATTTTATAAGCTATAAGTTTCAATCCTAATGTTTCCTTTATTGCACAGAACACGAGCCAAGTAGGGCATGATTGAGTTTTTATACTTACTAGTACGAGCATATAGTTTTCTATATAGGCTGCTGGTTCTGCCTGATGAGATACAAAGGGAGAGTTGTGAATGAAGAGGGTGGTGTGAGTTAGATAAAATGGATTTAGTCCGTTCTTCACATGGGTCCGAGTGCCTGTCTATCAGAATATTAACAAGCTGGTTAAGTGACACGTTACTTACACTGCTGACAACCTTTAACATCATGCGTAATAAGGTAAAGTCTTTCTTCAGTAGCTCTGGAAAAACTAAGGGGAAACAATGGAGAATAACAGGGAGGATGCAAGAGTTAACGAATTGGAGGAGTAGGGGTTGAGTTATACCAGAATGTCTTAACTTCTTAGTGTAGGAGGTGAGACGGAATATTTTCTTAGAAATCATCAAGATATGAGGCGACCAAGAAAGATCAGTAGATGGAATGACGGCTAGGTAATTAATTTCCGACTTGGTTTCTATTTCAGCACCATCTATGTTGCCCATCTCGTGAGTGCTAACCAGTTTGTTTAGGTGAGATTTATGCCTAAAGGTGAAAGTGACTGTTCTGTATTTAGAGGGATTTAAGGTTAGACCGTTTTTCTTGAACCATTGGCTGATTTCTGATAAAAAGCCATTTAGTTTGGAGCAGTCGCTCTGACACTTCATGGGCAAAGATACAGTCAGATCGTCAGCATATTTGACACAAGTAATGTCATTTGAAGATGGTAAGTCATGAAGAAAGAAAGAAAAGAGAAGTGGGAAGAGTACAACACCTTGGGGGACACCAGCTTCATTGAGGACAGCAGAGGAGGATTCGCCTTTGTATACGGTATACTGCATTCTGTTTGAGGAATAGGAATGCAATCAGTTTGTGTCATCGAGAGCTCATTTAGTAAGAGACATCTAGGTACAGAGTCAAAGGCATAAGTGAAGTCCAGAACGTATTTGGCACCTTCGTCTAATCATGAGACGATACTGTTGTTTAAGACAACTGCAGAGTCCAAAGTGCTCTTACCCTGTCTGTATTCAAATTGTTTGGGGTCTTCAAAACTTTTAGGAGAGGGTTCAACTTTAAGAAGTACTAGTTTTTCCATAAGCTTTAGAAACGGAGAAGTAATGGCAATGGGTCTGAACTTTACATTCTTTATATTTCCAGGTTTAGGGACAGGGATTATTTCAATGTTTTTCCATGCAACAGCCGCAACGTTTTTGGAGAAAGAAGCATTTCGGATGTTAGTTAGTGGAGAACATAAAGCATCTAAACATTGTTTTAGAACATAAGCAGGTACACCATCAGGACTAAGGCATGATTTGTAACACTAGAAGTAATTATAGTAGAAGGAGAGCGTATAAAAGACACCATGTGGAAATGTAGTTTATCCATAGAATGCATAAAATTTATCGTATTCATTTACTTCCGGTTATTAGTTAGGCCTACTTACTCTTACTTACTTACTAACTCAGGAATTAATTAGTAGCAATTATATTGTAACTCAGGGAATGAGAAATTATTCTGCCGAAACTTTCATACAGTTTATAAGTAAACATTTGTTTATTTTCATTCAGGTTAACTGTGATTTATGTCCAATTATTAGAACCTACATATATATAATAAATATATAGAGAGAGGGAGATAACGTGAGTTAACGGGAGACAGTTTCCAAATCAAATAAAAAGCGCAAAAACACACTTTATCTCTCATTTGGACAGAGGAAAAATGGTGCGTAATTCGGTTATCTTGATTTCACTGCTATTATTCACAATTGCATTGCAAAATAGTCAAGCAAAAAGTAAGCTCTATTCTTTGTTCTTTCATATTATAGTGAAAATATTCATTCAGATATCTATCTATAAAAAAACGAAATAATTGAGCAAAGAATATCCTTTTCGATAATTTCCTCCTCTTCTAGCTCTACAATAGTATACATATATATGTCTATATACACAGAGTATTCTAGATTAGTAGTTAATAACAATATTAGCGTTTTTTAAATAATATCGATTTGTCATATAAGATAAATGGAATCACAGTTCACTAAAGATGCTTAAATTATAATAATAACATAATAGTAAATAAAATATCGACTAAAAAGGCCTTATTATTGCAAATTCAGGTCCTCGGATATAACACCAGCAAGATACTAACATAATGCTTTAGAAATGCGGTAAAAGGAGCATTCCCTGCTGCTGAATTACGCTGTGTCTTCAAAACCACCCATATTTTGCGTTCTAGAGTAAAATACAAAGTGCTTACTTTAACCTTTTCCATGTGTATCTACCAATTTAGCTGCTTCTGTGGAGCCAGTTACATAGGCCGTACAATTAGACGTGTTTCTCGTCGGATTTCCGAATACCACTCTGCGTTGTTAAGTAAAGAACAAACAATGTCTGTTCGTAGCGCTATTCTATCTCATCTTGTGGATTCAGATACACACAAGATTGATGTTAACGAGGCGGCTTTCAAAGTCATTTACCGCATATCAACCAACAAATCTTAACTTCACCTTATGAGTTCGCTTACTAGATATTACTGAGGCTGTTGGGATCTACATTAAGAAACCTAATTTATCTGTCCAAAAGAAGCTAGTTCAGACATTATCCTTACCTTGGCCATCTAGGTTCGAATGATCTTCAAAATTTGGTAGAAATTTCCTTAATTTTATTTTATATTCTGTTTGCTATTATATTTTTTAAAATTATTATTATAATTTAAGGATATTTAGTGAACTATAATTCCATTGATCTTACTTTACAAATCGACATTATTTAAAGAACACAAATATTGTTATTAACTACTAATCTAGAATATTCTGTGTATATAGACATATATATGTATATTATTGTAGATCTAGAAGAGGAGGAAATTATCGAAAAGGATATTCTTTGCTCAATTATTTTGTTCTTTCATATTATATCAAAATCCATCTAATTATGAAAAAAGATGTTATTTGAATTCAGTGATTTTACATATTACTTTTGTTATTATTCATTCTTTGAGTTCTCGCGTCGGTGGCACAGCGGTTAGGACGCTCACCGACCATACACATGGTCCGGGGTTCGATCCCCGGTCGACGCACTCCTTTACCTCACTAAGCCAGAAATAATCCTGGTAAAGAGGAAAGGCCGGGCATAAGGCTAGCAACCCCATCCTGTAAAAATAAACACTACTACAGAAACTTCAAGTCACTGGCTTGAAGCCCTATGTTCCACTGGGAACGTGAAGGAAAAATAAACTTTAAGTCCTCAGTGAAATATAAGGCTTCAGTGGAACATCTTCGCTCCACTTAGTTCTCTACAGTCACTTTCAATTGGCTCAGCGACTACCGACAGACGTTCATTTCCCTTCTCATATGATCTCCGCCATATCATCTAAGGACTCTCATTTATTTCTGTTTTATTAGAGTTCCAGTCAAAGATTGGACCGATGAACGTCTACTTAGCGCATGTCAAGTCTGTCTATAATTCCTTTCTGAATATTTGTTGAGCAATAGGTTATTGGTTATCTCTCTGCCTACTAGAGTTCTTTGTCATCTGATCTACAGTCTAGAACCAGTCAAGATATCTACTGATAAAACTTTGAAGTAGTCTATTGGAGATTTTTTTTTAGTGACACGTGCGTACCATGTCTCTGAAGCATACAGAAGCAGTGATTCGATATCAGTTTTAAAAGCTTGAATCTTATTCCTTGTGAGATGAATACAGTACATTGTCACACTGACTTCACAGTAATGAGTCGTGTCATTTTTACATTCTTTATTCCGGCTGACTTTAACATGTTTATTCGTGCAGCCTGTAATTAACAGGATGGTAAAACAGACGACCTACTTTAGATTTTTCGCATTGATCGTGATTAGTATTTGTTGCTTTTGGTTGGGTATCTTTACCTACCGCTTCTGTCTTCTCTATGTTAAATAAGAAGTCCTGTCTCCCCTGGTTATATTACTGTTAGGTTTTAAGACACAAGCATGTTTTATCCAAATATATATTTAGGGCGGTTTTAGAAAGGTTTAACATTTTTTTTAGATGTTGACGTTGGTATTCAAACTTACGGAACAGATTTCTCATGTACCAGGTTATTAGCCACATTGAGAGTTAGTGCATGGAAGTTTAGATAACCTAACGTTGATATAGGCTGCTGATGACACTACCGAGTTCCCTAGATTGAAGTAGACAGAGTATGATACGAACACTGGAGTCATTGACTAAATAAAGACAGTTTAAGTCAATGAAGAATAACTCTTTTTAGTTGAACTTCTTATTTGACCTTAATTATAAACATTCAAAGCTGAAAGATTAGAATACTCCGGGGAAAGTTGAATTCATCTCACATAGATCTTGTAAACAAATGTTTTTATTAAGAATTTGATTGGTGTATGGTGACTAGCAGTGGAATCTAGGATGCACATTTCGTCCTATTTATGATTCGTCAGATGGATGTAGGTGAATTTCCCTAGTGAGTGATGATGTTTCTAGTGGGGCTCGAACCCAGTGCCCCTAGTTTTCAATCAGTCGACAGTTAAATCTAGAATTCAATTAAAATTAACATGACCTGTTGCAGGAGAGGTGGCTGTCGTGGCTCAAGTGGTCTAATGGATAACGCTTTGGTGTTTGAAACTGTGAGCACTGGGTTTGAGCGCAACTGGGAACATCATCACTCGCTGAGAAATGCAGCTACATCCATCTCACGAGTCACAAATAGGACGAAATGCGCATCGTCCTCGATTTCATTGCTAGTCACCATCCACCTATTAAATTCTAATTAAATGCCCAGACATCGTCGAAACATCTGCACAAGAAGCCGACATGTCAACCTGAGACCGAGCACTTCGGTCTAATCAATCGAAGGGAAAATCTAAAATTCAATTAAAATGTTTTTAATAGTTGGTTTGTAGAGGCTTGATTTGTTTGAAGTTTGGCCATGGATTATTATGAGTTAGAGAAACATTTAAAACCAAGAAGTACTGAACAACTGCTTCGTCCTAGTTCGGGATTCTGTAGCAGGGAGCACTAAACAGCTGTTTTGTCCCAATTTGGGACTCTTTACCAATCCCTAATTAAACTCGGGAAAATGTCTTAACAAGAAGGGTTAGATTCAGTAAACTTTTACTGAATAAGTTTCAGTGGTAATAAGTATGTATTGTTAGTGGGACAGAAGCATTTGTTCGCGAAATAAATATATTCAGGAAAATTGATTTTATTTAATGAGTTAATGTCATTAAAGTTAAAGTGAATCAATGCACATTGGTTTGTGCGTCGATTTATAAAACAATTAATGTAAAAATGTCTGAAGACTAGTTAGAATGAGATAGCTATAATATCAGTGTCATGTATATTGTTACATTTGTTGAAATCAATATTTTGTCATTTCCACTTATTGATTAACTCAGACCGAAATGTTCCCTATCTGTTAGCATTTTAGCTGGTGGAACAGGCATTTGACATTGGTTTTGAGGCCAACATGATCTTATTTGGTTGAAAGTGGTTAACAGTGAAATTTAGAATACGCTGTGCGCCCATTTCAGAACATCTCAGGAGGACGTTCCTATATCTTATAGTGAATGGGAATATGCCATTGAGCCTTGAACTCAACGCCCATTAGTGACATTTTAGCATTTGAAACGATTTGTGTTAGGCTTGAATCTCAGTTAGTTCACTATTATTCACTGTAGAGTGGAAGTACATCCAGTTAACGAGACGCGAATGGAACGAAATGCTCGTCTTGGATTCCATTGTTATACAGAGCCAACAAGCTTTCAATACTCTCAAGTCTGTGTGGGTGTCAACAGACCCACTCAGGATCAAAAATAAGATCCGGATTTTCAACTCCAATGTGAAGTCAGTGCTACTCACTATACGGATTAGAGATTTGGCGAGTAATAAAGAGCATCTCAAACAAAGTACAGACCTTCATTAACAGTTGTCTTCGCCCAATACTCAAGATCAGATGGCCGGCCAGAAAAGATAAGCAACAGAGATCTCTGGCAATGAGCAAAACAACCAGGAACTGTTTGTTAAACAAATAGGCAGGAAGAAATGGAGATGGAATGGCTGGCCATACTCTGAGGAAAACATCAAGTGATATCACTAGACAAGCCCTCGAGTGGAACCCGAAAGGGAAGCGTCGAGTTGGTCGTCAGTGTGAGGGTGACTTGGAGGAGGTTATGTGAATGAAGAGGATATGAAAGCGTGTGGGCAGAATTGGACAGGGGTGAAAAAGTTGGCAGAAAACCGAACGTAATGGAGACGCGTGGCTGAAGCCCTATTTTCCTGTAGGAATTAAAGGAAATAATAATAATTCATCGGATACATTCTGCTCTTTCGAGCAAGATACTTGTCGATTGCCATGAGTGTGTGTGTTTTAAATTCACAAAGACTACATCAACCAGAAAGACGCAAGGTTTAAATGCTTATATGATGGTTCAGTCAAACGCTTGATGAGTGAGGTGAGCTGGGGACTTATGTGTCATATGTGATATATACATTAGTATAGTAATGAAAAGATAGTCGGAAGTTCACCGATGCTAAACATTTCACCAACGAATTCGAAGATCGTATAAGTAATAACCGTCTTAGTGACTAACCACCTCTACTGTGAAGAAAAATCTGATCTCATAAATAAAATTATTTATTTTTAAAGGTATATGTCTGATCCGATTCACTGTAGTCAATCTGATCAGGACCAAATACTTTGATTTCCTTTTTTTTATTACAGCTTGATTTCACACCGTATTTTTGGTACAAGCATGGAATTTTCAGCATGTGATACCAGTAGCCCAAATTTTGCAGGCCGACCATAGATATCAGGTGTGCGTCGGCAGGGGATCGAACCCCGGACCATATGCATGGTCGGCGAGAGTCCTAACCATTGTTCCACCAACGCACTAGGTTTTGAGCCACACACACACATACATACACACAGAGTAGGAGGATTGGTGACACTACCCACTTGCTGAGACTGTAGTAGGTGGGACGGGATTCGAACATTTGTTGAACTCACTCAATAATTAAGTCATCCTCTAAAGCCAATGGGTAACAATTTTACATCGCAGCTTCAAGCAAAACGTGCAATCATCCTCGGCAAGCTACTTCTCTATTTAACAAACATTGTTACGTGTGAAACTACTAACTTACTTCTAACCAGTGAATAAACATTTCATTTCTTTTGTTCTCCCTGTCCTCACTATACTGGAAAAAAGACGAACTTAGATGCAATATTGTAACTAGATACTGGTAATTCTACTCTGTGTCAAATATACTCTTTAGTATAAGCCAATATTATTAGTAGTGTAATTATGTTGAATTGGAAATATTCTTCAAGTTAGCCATAGCGGTTAGAATTCTTGCTGACCATGCACATGGTCTGGGGTTCAATCCCTGCCAATGCGCACCTGGTATCAATCGGTCAGCCTGCAAAATGTGGGCTACTAATATCATATGCTGAAAATTCTATACTTGTACCAAAAATACGGTGTGGAATCAAGCAATAATAAAAAAGTATACAAACTAATTAAAGCAAAATATGTATAAAACCAAGGATTATTTTTGAGGCGAAATCTATAGAAAGTTATCGCTCACTTATCTCAGCAAAATCTTTCCAATCACAGATTGCATAAATGTGGATGTCTAGGCCAGCCAGCTAGCCAGTATAAGGTCTGTCTGCTTGTTTTCGATATAGAACTTTGCACCGATGTGCAGAAGTTCAAGTCGCCATACTCCCTCCTTGCAGCACACAAAGCAAGACAAGTAAGTAGAGGAAATGCATTAATAGAGACAGTAAACAGAGGTTTGAGACAAAGGAATAGTAGTAACGAAGAACGACATAGTTTCATTGGAAATCATAAGTCACAAGGTGTGGATGCATCTGTGCCAGCCATTGAGAACGATATTGATCCATGTCACCAATTTTTTCCAGCCATTGCTTTTTACCGTCTCGAAGATCCCAACCAGGAAGTCTACACCTTCCTACGTGCTTAAACTTACTTTTGTAGATTAAATTGATTGGTGCCGTGTTTTGGTTTGATCCGCCGCTTTCTCTTTTTCAGCCTGACTCTAACATTGCCCATCGATGAAGGCGATGACTAGGCATGCCTATTACATGTCCTAGCCATCTCAATCGGTGTAACTTCATAGCCTTGTCGATTGATTTCCCCTCCTTACCTAACACTAGACCGATGCCTAACCTCAATATTGCTCACCCTATTACATACCGCTTCACACGGGAGATAGAGCGCAGACACCAATGATCAAAGACAACTAATGTTTTCATGTCTTCCACTCTCAGTGGCCATGTCTCACTCACAGCCATAAAGGAGGACGGAGTGGACTGGTGAGCAGTACACCCGCCTTTTGGTTGATACCCGGGTATCACGTCTACGCCAGAAACGGCGTAAACTGGCCCTCTGTATCCGTGATGAGATTTCGTCCGAGATCAACCTGTTGGCGTTGGCTGATGTAACTTCCCGAATAAGTGAAGCGGTCAACGCGCTCTACCACTTCACTCCCTATTTCTAAACTAGGAGTCAGTGTAGTCCAGTCCTGTAACGTCATCTTACATTTCACGGCGGGAGCGAATCGCATCCCAAACATTCGTAGACTGCAGCTCAAGGTGTTCAGAAGACTCTGCTTCATTTTGTCAGTGTCCTCGCCAAGAAGGACTATATCGTCTGCATATTCTAAGTCAACGAGACTATTATTCCCTGGTAGCAAGTCAAACCGTGAGTCTCTGAAGTGAGTTAGGGTTAAGTCCATTAGTACAATATCTATGATGAAATTGAATAGAAATGGGGATAATGGGCATCCTTCGCTGACGGACACCACTAGTTGTCACCACTTCAGATGAGAACTCGCCGTAAGCTCTCACCCGGCTGCATAAGTATAAGGAAGGCGAAATGCGCGTTTATTATTTCGAAATAAGTATGGAGATCTACAGAACTTAGTTAATACAGGGAACAAGAATTCGAGATTTCATCACTCATATCAAGTTAGTGATTTTATGCGGTTTAGACAGACTTGCTGTAGGCGTTAAGAGAAGCATTTTCAACATCTGACTGCAGAATATCCCCAACACCACCAACAGATTCCTTCACTTTATATACAGGAGATCAGATGGCCTGCTACACGGGATAAGCAACAAGAAACTGTGGCAATGAAACAACTGAGAACCTATGGTTCAATAGATACGTAGAAGGAAATGCGTACGGATAGGAAACACGCTGAGTATACAGACATTCAAATGACACACCATACATACTCCCGAGTAGAATTTGAATGGGAAGCGAGAAGTTGGATGTAACATGGAGATGACAGTGTGAACTGGAAAGAAAATGAGAGCTTGTTAACAATCCTGGAGTCAATGTCAAAAAAAAGATCACAGCGAAGCGAGTGAAATGACAACTTCCTGTTGGAGCCCTATATTCTCCTAGGAGGACAATAATAATTGTGATTCATTATTTAAATATGCTTGACTTAACACTTGTAATGATTTCATTTGTTTGATTTTTATTTTCTGTCAAAAAATCTATTTAGGATGTCGTTTTATTGGTGAAAAATGCAGTAAAACTGTTTTCGATAAATGCTGTGGCGAAAATTTATGCCAGTTGTCTTCACCATTTAATGGTGTATGCGTACAGTGCCTGAGCGGTGGTGCAGCTTGTGTAATGGACAAACACTGTTGTTCGCGTAAATGTGATTGGGGAAAATGTAAAAAGGAGAGATATTTCTAGTACTCAAAAACAAAAATAGTCTGACAGTCATTTGAATTAGTGGTAATAATAATAATAATGATAGTAATAATAATACTGTAGTTCATGAGTTTTCATTCGTTTTTAAATAAAAAAAAAACAGATTTTGGGTTGGTGGGGAGTTTCATCCAGTCCAGCGAAGATCTCATTACGTAACGATATCAGTTAGAGAATCACTAGGAACCAGAGAGCAGTAGACAGCCGCTTTGTCCTAGCTAATAAGGCGCACCTACAACCTCAGCTCGTTAACCATTCCCTTACTAGATTGGGATCCAGTGGCTCACGGTTCCCAACTTCTGTCAGTAGCGTTACCGCCCATGGAGTTTATCATGCCGTATGTGAAGCAGATGCTTATCGGTAGCATTGGTCAACAGTGACAAGATATCGCGGATTGACACCGGGCTCACCTCGCAATATCAAGCTCCTGAGTTCAAACACTGTATGGTTAATGGTGAGTGAGGAGTCCTAAATGGGACGGAGAAAATATTCACTGGGCCCCAGTGATTATTGATTCGATTAGAGGACGTTTTTCGATGACGAAGTTTAGACTGAAGTTACGAATTCCATTTTTCAGTGTAACTAATCCACATAATTGTTTCCTTATTGCAGTAATTGAACAACTAATTATGAGGATGACAAAAAGTAACGAAAGACAATTAGTGTTTGATATTTTCAATGATTTAAACGAATGAATAGCATACAGGAGTCTGTAGGTTCTGTTTTTCCTATCACTGATTACTTCTGATTCCACAGATTCCGCTCAAGTAAAGATATAATGAGGACTGGTTCGTGCCAGTGAAAACAATCCAGTTTATAAAATTATATTTGTAATATCTCAGCGAAATTGAAATGATTAATTCCAAAGTTTCGTTCGGCAATCAGGTCCGAACTTCTTCAGGGAAATTAATCGAAATTAATATAACAAAGTTCATATATAAAAGGGACATCTCTTGTTTCAAATAGTTTGTCCTGTCATATGAATCAAGAAACAGCTATCAATAGGTATACTAAACAAAACAAAAAAAAATTGTATGAACTATGATCAAAAACTTTTTGACCTTCTACTTCTCACTCAGCGCTCAATTATTTAGCAACTATCCGGTCAAATCTTGATCACAGTTCATATGAACAATTCAGTTTATTATACAAAAATATATTACGAACAAGTGTTACGCATCTCGGAAAGTTAAACCAACAAATAACTAATTCTATTGGTTGCATAAAGTCGAGCTTCTAGATTGTCCAGTCGAATTGCGATGAATAATGTGTCTCTGTCCAATGGTGTCATTTGTGTATACTGGGATTAGTCAGGTCTGAGCTGCATCCTGTCACTAGAGTGGTTCATAGTTTCAAGTTTAATCAAAAATTGATGTCCGTTAGGGAACCACTGACAACGTGGGAGTACTGGACAACAGCTTCGTCATAGTTTGGGTCTCTTCACTAGCACACACCCGCGACCATACGCGAGCCCTTCAGCTTACGAAGCCAAGCTCGTAGAACATTTATCCACTAAGATCGGGATCTAACGGCCAATGATATCTAACTTCTATCAATTCATCGTGTTAGCACGACAACCAGCCAATGTCATCGGCTAGTGTCTATCCACACACCCACTGGTCTCGACTTCTAACTAGGACTCCGGTCAACTTCATGCTGTAGGCAGTCACAAGCTGGCATCAGATTAATTTTCAAGAGATTTTTTTAGGGATTTCGGCTTGTTTCAAGTTTGATCACGGATCGATGTCAGATAGTGGACTATTAGAAACCAAAGAGTAATGGACAGATGTTTCGTCCTAGTTTGGGATTCTTCATCAGCATTATTTTGTTACAGAAGCGCTGACACAACCCTAGTCGTGCGTTTTTAAAGTTTCATATTACCGTGTACACGACTGATGCAGTGGATACTTTTTAAATTTCACTGTTTCCATAAGTTGACGCCTTGATGATGATGCGTAAAAGTCTGATGATGATCTTAGCTTAGGGAAACTCTCACTCAGAGAACAGTTCAATGTTAACGTCCATATTCTGAGCTATAATTATTCTATATCACATATATTACATTTATGCAGCCTTGTTACAGGTAAATATTAGAATGTTAGAACGTGTGGTTAGCCTATGGGGGTTAGAGTCTCAGTGGAAACAACATCACTTTCACTGGGAGGGAGGCAGCTACATCCGGATGAGAAGCCAAAGGGTAGGACACAACGCGTGTCCTGGATTTTACCATCAGCCATTACCAAACAAACAACTTTGAGCATAGTTGTCTAGCGACATTTACAGTTGATAGGTATTTTTGATGAGTTAATCTGCAAAATAACCTCAGTATTCAAGTGTTGGTTAGTAGGGATTTGATTGGTTGGTTACATGATTTCATCATGAGCTGACATTGGTTAGAGAACCATTGGAAAACCTGGGAGTACTAGAAGCTGCTTCGTCCTAGTTTGGCACTCTTCAGCAGTACGCACCCACCAGGATTCAAACTCAGGACCTTCTGGTTACAAGGCTGGGTGCGTACTGGCGAAGAGTCCCAAACTAGGACGAAACAGCTGTCCAGTACTCTCTGGCAGGTTTTCCAATGGTTCTCTAACTAATGTCAGCTCATGATGAAATCCTGTAAAATTACCTTAAGTTGACTGATAGTCATTGAAACACATGACTTAGATTTCACTTGGGTTCCTTCGAAGTGTTCAAAAGCTCCTGAGATCCCGCCTTTCCTTAGACCAGTGGTAATCAGTTCGTAAAGCGAGAATGACACAATGACACAATAGCAGACGGGTGATGTATGCTTATAAGAGGGACAGTGAATAAACTATTTCTTGTTCTGGTTTACAACGTTTCAGCGGTGTATATCTTGCACATGTAGTGACAATATTATCCAGAGAGTTACAGAGTTTAGAGGTGACACAGTTGCTAAAGTAATTAAAAGTCATCTATCCAAATGCTTAAGCGCTCTTTTCATGCCAATGATTCACACCTGCTATTCTCTAATCGAGACGTATGATTCGACAATGCGTGAAGGATACACCATTGCTTATGCTCCTGTTGAGGTGATTACATTGAATGTTATACGGATATTTTCCCGGAAACGTGTAGATGAACACTATCCAGTTTGTTTGAAGAAAGGTGACCATACGACGAAGACGACGTCTCCTATCTGTGAACACACTCTTGAGTCAAGTCACTCAGCCGTATACAAGCTACCTACAAGGCTAAATTTAATCCCTTCAAATGTTCATGTTTTCACCACTTATTTATAGCCAAAGCTCTAACTATGTATTCAAAAATATTTTATTAAACCCCTTTCTTAACCTTGGTCATAGTATTATTTTTTTTATAATATATATTTTATCGCTTGAATTCATGCGACTTCAATTCACCTTCGCCATCTCATATTGTTTTCATTATCACAGATTTAATTTTTGACAACACTTGGCCTACTTTTGAAATCGTAATACCAGTTGACCTAATCTTTTGACCTTTTGTAATTCATCCATGTTAATTATATCTTTATTCTTATCATCTTATATGTGTATGTTGACTCGGCAACTTTTTAGTGCTTTAAGTGTTCCGTCTAACCTACTACATTAAGAAACTCAGACTATCTGGAATCACCCAACCTTTACTTTCACAGTTCGTCAACTCTCGTATCTTACCTATTCTACTTTGCTGCTTCCCATTAGTCTTTCCTTGGGTTACTGAAGGACTACCATCCTGAGAAGGATGTTGAAGGTAGTTAGTAGGACTAGTGGTGTAAAACTCAGTCAATTCGTCACTACATTATTAAAAAGGCATCTGAATACATGCGAAAAATGGTCTAAAACCATACTCTTCGATTCCCAACATCCCCTCTATTCCCAACTCTCTCCTTGCATCTCATCAGGTAGAACCAGAAATCAGTATAAAATAATATATGCTCGTACGACCAAGTACAGGAACTCAATGATACCATATTTGGTCGGTGTTCTAAGTGACAGAGGCAATGTTAAGCGCGAAACCTATGACTTGCTTTGTTGTTAATAACATAATTTCGGCTCTTTTATTTCTCTCTTATTTGTATTCTGTAGCGAACAACCTTCTTAAATATACTTAGCTACCGATAATAATTTATCATTGGCTTACTTTTTTATTCTTTATTCTATTCCTTCTTCTGAGTATCTACTGGTTCCGACTACATTATCACTATGAGTATTACAAAATTGTCCTGTCATTAACCATCATGTAATATTAGTATTGTGATTGTTTTTTTGTTCGGCAATATTAACTGACAATGTTGGTTGTGAACGCCGTTATCACCATCTTGAAATTTTGTATTATGCATGATTAGTCACACTACCACTACAAACACCGCATTACAGTTGACAATAAAAACCCAGAAATGCTTATTTTACGATTGTTTAGTGTAGTTCAATCAAATTAACTGATCATCATGGCGATAAACATTCTTAATATCATTTCAGAACTTCTTGTATGATTATAGCTGTTACTGTTCACCATGCATAAACATATCATAGCTTTTACTACCCAATACTGAAGTATTTTTTATTAATGTTGTTTATTTTCCTTTCTACTTCTTGGTATTTTTATTCGCATTTTTTATTATTTTTGTGCTTTTTTTGTTTTTGTTGTTGCCTTTTATATTTTTTGAAATACTCCTTTTAAATGTTTGATTGATAGGATCCCACATATTTTGGTATTGACTGTTTAATTTTGTATATATGGTATATTATCATTCTCACACATTTTGGTGGTGACTGCTAATTTTGTATATATGGTATATTATCATTCTCACACATTTTGGTAGTGACTGCTAATCTTGTATATATGGTATACTATCATTCCCACACATTTTGTTACTGACTGTCAACCTCGCACATATGGTATATGATCATCTCTCACGCACTTTGTTATTGGCTATTAAGATAAATTATTTCAAATGCTGTTAGCTGTCCATATTGTTGTAAAATGTATAAATACCATGGCTT